TTTTGACCACTGCTTGCCCATCAGACAAGCGATCCTTGATCCCACTGGCTGGGCCGTTGACAAAATATGGCCGTCATGCTGCTAACTTGTCATGACCAGCATACCACGGCCTACATATAGCACAGTAAAGCTTGGACAGACTTGCTGGTGTGTCTGTCCCCCACAATTCTTATAATGTGGCATGACAGGGTAGAATCAGGCTCTTGTCAATTTTTGTGCTTAATGGAGTTTTTGGTATTATCTTAAAGCTCGTTCATTTGTTGGTGGAATTAGGTTCTCGTCAATTTTTATGCATATAATGGAGCTATTTATATTTTCTTAAAGCTTATTCAGTTGTCTTGCTTTTGATGAAAAGAATCCACATTTATTTTAAATAGAGATTGAGATATTTGCACTTGTATGGTTTGGGTCGCCTGATTTCAGAAGTAAAATTAGCAAGGATGTTGTCTAAAAAATTGGGAGACTTCTAAAGCTTGAGTGTCCATGGAAACTGAAAATAGTATAATCCACCCTGAAATGTGCTTTGAAATAGAAATAAAAGGTATGAGCCAAAAATAACCCCAAATTCATAAAAATTGCTCTATGAACAACCACAAAAGATTTGGTTTCTTTGATTTAATTATTTTGACATGTAGATCTATCTGATGTCTCCACGATGCCACACAAATGTTTTGACTGTTGGTGCAGAGAGGAGAATTCACTTCAAGACATCAGCAGCACAATACACAGTATGTGTTCATGACCTCTGGCATCGATTGTGCGGTGTTTTTGCATGCAGCTTTTTCTGATTTGTGAAAAAAGGATTGTAGTGCACAGACTTGTGGCAGTGCACCTGTAATATTTATTCTATGCAAACTGCCAAGTGTTAGTGATTAAAATTCATTAAACTTTACAGCTTAGCAAGACACCTCTCTTTGCATCTGACCTAAGGATTTCATCATCTACTTTAAGCCCCATTTCGTATACATGATACATCAAAGTCAAATGTTTTGTTTTGAGTAATCTCAGTGAAGTAATTTGTACCAAAACGACCAGAAGTATACAAGTCATTACTCTGTGTTACATCTCCTGTAAACAAAGTAATTATTTCTTTTGTCTTCAAGATTATTCCAAAACAAAACTGTAATAGTTAACAGTTGTAGGTGATTGGAGGATAGCCTCTTATAGGTCCTTTTTCTTTTTTTTCCCACTCTGTTGTTTCTCTCTCTCTCAACTCTCTGCCTTTCTTTTTCCCTGCGTTAAATATGATTGTTATTGTGTCGATGTGCTTTTAGTGCAGTACCACCATGAAGATAAATTTTGGCCCACCGATCAAAGCTTGTTCTCCTATTCCTTCATTCCTTTTATTCATGAATGTATATTATCTGATATTTTCCAATTTTTACCTGTTTCAATCTCATATTATGTCAAATTAGCTTTCCAGATTTATCTAATGAAATTGAAGACTCATGAAAGAGTTGGAGGCAGTGAGAGGGGGGAGAAAGTGATGCATTAAAAGTTGGCCCCTTATGTTCTAGAGACTTTTGATTCTATAAAATTGAACTATTAACGAAAAAAATCACTGTATTTCTCTTCACTGAGAGTAGTTGGGAGAGTGGGCTGGTAGTTCTTGTGTCATTCTCTTTTTTGGTATATTTCAGTGTCTTGCCTAGCTAATGTACAGTGTGGAATGACTATGATGGTCGTCCACTCTTTTGTAATAAGTATCTGCTTCTATACTATACAGTTCTGCATCAAAGGAGAATCTTTCCTTGAAATCTGTAATTTCTTTTGGCTCTCCATATTTGTGTTTCATTTCACACAGAGGCCTTACTCAGACTGAGTGAGCATTGTTTGTCCTCACCCACTCACTCAAAAAGATAGTTTCTGTGTTGATATAGGTTTCTCTTATGATGTGTGTTTTATGTGACACACTCCATCAGCACTACTTATTTTTGGACAAGTTACGTGAATTGATGCGATTTTGGGAGTTCAGTATGATTCTGCACCTGGGTTGTTTTAAGAGATATAGTGTAAGTTGCAAACAAATCATTCAGTTCTATTGTTTCCTTTTGTATAAAAAGCTTTCAGGTGTATAAAAGAAAGAAATTAAAAACTTTACTCCCTCTATTTTTTTCCATTCCAAGTCTCTGAACCCTTTTGATGTAAAACAGAAAACTGATCAAGAAAAAAAATATAGTCCCATACCACATTTGATACCTATTCAAAATACAGCTCATAGTCTTCAATAATTGTTGTAAAATACAAGATTCCCTGTGCTTGAAGAATATAGATGAAAGAAAAAGAAATGTGTAGCCTACTCAGATAGAAAATGAAAAAGTAGGTCAACTATGGAAAAAAATTCTTTGCATCACTTATGAATCATCATATTTATTATTACAATTTCTTTATGCTCAGAATTCCTTAACTTGAAGTTCTGACCTTTTATAATTTTACAGTATATGTGAGGTAGCGTGGTGAAATCAGGTGCTCATCAAAATAATGAAAGTCAAGAAACTGGCATTTTCCGCAGGTTTCGGAATTTTTATCAAATTTTTGTTTTTTTGTTTAATATCTTTCCTGCCAATTAAAGAACACATTTCAGTGCGGATTTTACTGAAAAATGTTGATTAAAGGCATAAAAAATGTAAAATTTCAGCTTCCACAGACTCTCAAACTAAGGAAATGACTCAACTTAAGCGGCCATTTTCTTGCTTATTTTACATCTGAAACCAGGAGACCCCCACCTCCTTCAATCGCCAATATCTTGACTTGTTTCCGAGATAAATTGATTTCTTTTTCATCACAAGCAAGGCAAATGGAGAGGCTTTACGACAATACCAATAACTCCGTATGCCCCAAAATTGACGAGCGCCTGATTCCGCCGCGTAGTGACACATATGGCTTTGAAACATTTTTCTTGAAATAGAACACACAAGTTTTAGTCAGGTGGGTGCTTTTGATGAATGGGATCTTTTTTTCAAGAATTCTCCTGTTTTGGGCAACAAGACTTTCAGAACTATAGAACAGATTCAGTAATTAAAGGTTTTGTTGTATGTTTTAGTATTAATATATGACTGTCTCTTTAATAGAGTTCAATGAAAGTGTTGCGTATTGTTGTCTTGAAAAATTTTCCCAGTTTTAGTGCTTTTGTGTTAGTTTGTTTCCCCCCTTTTTTGTTTGTTTGTTCAGAAAGGAGGTTGCATTCAATGCTAATTTTAACTTTGTATCATAGGTCTGCATCATTGGAACCAGTTACAATTAGCAGTTGTATTATGTTTGTACACAATAAAAGTTTAAAAGTGAAATGTTGCTTTGTCCTTATACTCTTATTACATGTTTTCATTTTATTATTTTGGGGGCTCTCGTGGCCTAGAGGTTAAGGTGTTGGCCTCTCATTCAAAAGGTCCCGGGTTCGAATCCGGGTAGCGACCGAAAAATTTTCTTCTCTAAAATTGTCTTCTTTCAACTCCTTTCCTGCTCTCTAGCAATGTTCTGTTGTCTGCTTTCGTTTCCACTTTCTGCCCCCACCCCCTCACCTCCTTTGCCCCCTCCTCTGGGCTCCTGACTCTTTCTGCGGCCTTTCTACTGCTACTCCTTGGCTCCTCCTAACTGCTGTCTTTCTGCCACACCTCTGATCTTCTGGTAGGAAAGATCTACACCTAGCCTTCTCGGACAAGGGCGAAAAATCTCGGAGGGCCTGTGTGCAAGTTGCGCACGTTAAAGATCCCTTGGTGGTCTAAAATCGATAAGAGTAGGCTTCGGCTGCAACCCGGGCAAAATTCAAAATTTCCTACCAACTGAAAATATCGCTCATATGACCTTATGCAGTTGCGAGCGCCGTAAAAACACTCACCAAAACAAACAATTTTATTATTGTTGTCATTTTTATGAATCTCTTTCTCACTCCTCTGATCCAACACTGATGTCTTTCTATTATGTCGCCATCCTCCCCCTTCTCTCTAATCTCACAAACACTTTCTCTCTCTCCCCCTCTCTCTCTCTCTCTCTCTCTCTCTCTCTCTCTCTCTCTCTCTCTCTCTCTCTCTTTCTGTCTGCCTGTCTCTCTCTCTCTTTCTCTTTGATCTATCTTCCAGCATCAGTGGTGTATAATTTGATTCCTCGCCATTGCATACAAAAATGTGAATTTAGTTCTTGCATGGATAAATCTTTGCCTGTCTGTCTGTCTGTCTGTCTGTCTGTCTGTCTGTCTGTCTGTCTGTCTGTCTGTCTGTCTGTCTGTCTGTCTGTCTGTCTGTCTCATTTACACTGTTCTTTGTACGAGTTGTCAATTTGTAACAACACTTTTGCATAATGTATGCGTCGGTGCAAATTTTGTAACAGCTCTGTATTATGTTCCACAGCTAGGTTCTTGATATAGATAGATCGGATGGTTGATAGGTAACGTGGTGTGGACTACATGCACTTCTATTTCTCTTACGTGACGTTCCTTTCATGAAAAAATAGTTTTCTATGGGACCTCCTTTGTGCCGACTTGGTGCAAACTGCTCAGCATCGATAAAAGTAGAAGAAAATGAGTCCGAGGCAAAATGAGAAATGATAAAAGGAACAGCGACTCGTACAAGCAAACGTTCACACACATTCTCTGTCAGCGACTTTTATCACTGGTACAATAAGTAGGCCTAATAAACAAACAGTTTGTAAAAAGTGTATTTATTTATTAAAATACAAGCTTGATGCGTACGGGGTCAACACAATTTCGAAACTATTGATTGTGAAAATGGATAATGAAAGAAATGCAAAATAATGGCGTTCAATGATCGTACAATTTTTGGATAGATGTGGTCACTTTGACGTCACCATCTTGACGAATTCTGAAAAAAAAGTAAAATAAACGTGAAATAGTGAAAACTTCAACTGTGTGAAGTAAACTTAATTGAATTTGGTTCTTGTTTTTATCCCTAAAGTATTTTGGCTGTCCCAAAATTAAGGTGAAATTGACGATAGCTCGTCATAGGCTGCTGCATCGATTTCCAATTTTTAAAAATAGTTGCTCTGTGGCTTGTACATTGCGTTATATCTTTAACCCTATCCGTACGCCCTGGGGTCATTTTGTACCCCTGGGGTAGTATTCTTATGAAGATCTGTTTGAAACTTTCAGTATTTCTCAAAAAATATTTTTGACACACTGCTATGCAAAGCGTACGTATCGGATTAACGAGTAAATTTCCTCTTTGAAAAGTGGTGGCACAGAGTTCCCCACGTCGTACGGATACGATAGTAAAATACGACGCACGGATAGGGTTAAGCTAAAGGACCTAGCGGATACTTATTTATGTCTGGCAGCAGACCAAAGGCTATGCTGTGGTACATTTTAATCTATACCTGTATTACACTAACCAAACACATATTTGCTTATTTTATCGTATGCGTATTGCAGTTTGCCTTTCCAAGTTCAAGGTTTAAAAAAATCTCCCCCCCCCCTGGGGCAGTGCCACTGACTCTAGTGTCTTTAGGCCATTCCGAAAGGGGGGATGTTTCTCGTTCAAGCACAGCAGAATTGTAAATTGGCTGATTCATGTCACGCTCAAAACTGTGCCTGATCTACAACCGGGAACTGCTGCTTTTTCTCTCCTAATCTTGTCATTTTCCTCTACTTATTTTGTATGTTTGTCACTCTCTTGTGACCTGCTATTTCCGGGGTGCCTTGACAGTCGAAGCAGACCTTGTGCTGTTGAAGCTAGAGAGGAGAGCAGAGTAAGTCTGATTCCCTGTAAAGACTTCTCTGTTGACACCCACCCCTTGGCGCTCATATGACCTTATGCAGTTGCGAGCGCAGTAAAACCTTCTACTGTAACAAAAACAAAACAAAAACAAATCGAATTGAAAAATCTTTAAAAATAACGGATTTTCTTTGGTCTAACCTTGTTTTTGGTTAAGAGAAGCTGCCAAAAGAAGACACATAAACTAGGATTTTATTTTCTTTCGGTTTACATCTGTCTTCGGATCAACCGTGTTCGGGTTGAGTAGACTCCACTTCACATTTTCATAAGATATCTTTATTTCCAAGGGCGAATTAACAGATAGGGGACGAGGAAAGATCAATATGATATAATATATATATATCTATTTTATATTTTGCATTTTGGAAACACATGTGTCACTTTCCCCATAAAACTACGACAGCTACATAGTTGAAAGTTGGCAAGTACCTGCAAAAAGATAGATAGGTCCCCATGATTGAGCCCAATTTTTTATTTATTTGTTTCCTGAATTTAGAAAAATATATTTGACAAAAAGTTTCCGTCCTTCTTTGGCCTTTGTGATTATTCAACTGAGAAACGAAAGAAATCTGCGTAGCTGTCCTCCACAGCAGAAGTGCCGGAAGTGATATTTCGCGAGGCGCATTTTGTTTTGAGAGTGTAGATCTAGATCTAGATCCTCTAATTTTTTGCATCTCTCAAGATTTATTGCTCCATTCCAGTAGAGTGTAAATAAAGTAGGCCAGTGACTTTCAGTTGATGTTAATGCACCGATCATTCCTTTTATCGTAAGGGGGTCCAGGTAGTTAGATGTTATATGCATGAATATAAATACACTCAGACCATAATATATTATTATATGAAAGTATACTACCCACACATAAAGATATACAAATCACACACACACACACACACACACACACACACACACACACACACACACACACAAATATACCCTCCCACACACACACGTTTATGCCCCTCAATACCTTCATAATTAACCTGTCCATCGGCGTCCACATCAGCTTCCCTGATCATCTCGTCCACCTCCTCGTCCGTCAACTTCTCGCCAAGATTGGTCATCACGTGCCGTAGCTCCGCCGCCGAGATAAAACCATTGTTGTCCTTGTCGAACACCCTACAGAGAAGGCAACCAGCATTAAAGAGCAAATTAAGCTCTACGTCACTTTTAACAACATTCATACTCTATATATTTTTGTTCTTCGGCTGTCTATCGATACCAGTGCTGACTAAAGCTTTTTGCCTGGGCGGATGACATATAGAGAGGTAGTAAATTACCTAAGTACTTATACTTCCCTTCTTTTAGACCGTGACTTTTTTTTACATGTTCGAAAGGAGAGATACTGTCTGTACATTTGAAATCAAAGAAGATTTAAGGGCGTGTCTAACATTTTACAGGTGTGATGGGGATATTCCTTGTGGTAATCAGTCTTGGAATTTGGAATTTTGCCACGGTGGCGGCCTAACAGCCTTCTCTTCTACGATTTTCAACCACCAAGCGATGTTTAACATGTGCAAGTCATATTATTGCAGTCGGAACCGCATCACTGCATTATTTCAAAAGAATAACATACGTGTCCCAGAGTATCAGCATGAGTGAGGAGCAGCTCATCATGTTTCTTTTGATCTGCCAGAACGATGACATAATTTCGTGCCCCCCCCCTCCCTACTCCTGCCCTTTCTTTAAATCCGATCCCTAAACCCAAGAAAAATATTCCTTGGTTATGTCAGTCGCCTTTTTAGAGAAGGGCAGTAGCTCAAAGGTAGGCCTACTGTCTGTTAGATACCAGCAAGGCGAATATAACAAGGATCAAAACTGACTGGATATGCCGGTACCACTACCACAACCATAATCAGACAGCCACTGAAATAATCAGTAGTATGGATACCTTGCAGGCTTTGGTGCTGGGAGGAACTAAGCACTTATGGACCTGTCCGGTGTGCAATGACGTTGTTGCCCAGGAAAGGTAATAATACAGGTACAGTCTAGACGGTCAGAGTATAAGAACGTATAGGGTACATTGTAATACCGGTACCACAGTGAGCCTAAAAAAAGCACACACGAAATACATGCACATCCAAAAACACACGCACACCCATAAACACACACACACACACACACACACACACACACACACACACACACACACACACAAAGACACACAAAGACACACACACACACTGAAAAGTGATATGTAAATTCACTGCTCACTGGCATGTACTGCCTCCCCTCCCCTCTCCTTTCCCACCCAAGTGTTCATAATACATGTAATACATTAGAACATAATGGTGAACGATCATTTAACATCGAGCGCTACCGTAACGTCAGCCATAACCACCACCAACAACAACAGCAGCAGCAATAGTAATAACAGCCATCATTGTAAATGATAATATCCTGTTGCTCATATTGCTATCTTTTGTCTTACTTGAATGCTTCCCTGATTTCATCCTCTGAATCCGGTTCTCTCATCTTTCTTCCCATCATTGTGAGAAACTCAGCAAAGTCAATAGTTCCATTGCCTACATGAGGACAAAAATAGCAAGTGCGAATGGGGTGGGGGTGGGGGTGGGGGGAGGGAGTAAGATGATGTTATCAGTGAAAACCTGGTAGAAAGAAAGTGTTGGTCAAATGGAAGAAAAAAGAAAGTCAGCCAGACTGACAGAGAGATGATCATGGGGAAGAGGACGGACGGACAGACAGACAGAGAATAACCGTAGTGTAAGGTGCTGAAGTATAAAACAAAAGAGAATTTGAATCATAATGACATCACACAAGTTAACATGACATCACGGTATACGGATAATTATGCTATTTATACAGAAAATGTGTGTGTGTGTGTGTGTGTGTGTGTGTGTGTGTGTGTGTGTGTGTGTGT